TGTGTTAGTATTGACTGATACAGGAGACTCAGATACTCAAATCCCATCTATTAATTTCAGCACTGGAAAAGATTGAATTTGTGCAACGTTTCAGTTTCTATTTTTACGGTAAGTCTCGGACCTCATCAAAATGTACACCTCCGCGTGCATTTTGAGGTCCAAGGGCCAGCTCCAGCTTGTGGTGCCTAAAACAAGACTTAAAACCAGGTGGGTCGGGGTCTTCTCTGTGGCCAGCCTTATGCTCTGGAACGCTGTGCCCCTCTACAGCCCCCACAGTGGAATGTTTTAAGTCTCGTCTTAAAACACACTTTTATTCTCTGGCTTTTAACACCACATGAGTTGTGTGGACCTTTGAGTCAATTATTTATTTTATCTATTTTACTTATTTACTGCTATTTTATGGTTTTTGGTTTAATTTGGTTTTAGTGGTTTTATTGTTTTAGGACTGGTACGACCAACTTTAGCTTTACCTTTTTGTTGTCTTCATTTTATTGATCTCTGGGCAGCACTTTGGAATCTGTTTTGTTTGTAAAATGTGCTATATAAATAATGTGGATTTGGATTTGATACAATTACATAGTAATTTATTGTTGGTAAAGCACACATCCAAGAGAGGACAAGATCAGCCTTATCTCCAGTAAATACTATAGGACATACATCATACCATACCTGTTCACCCAACACTCAAAATCCACTCAAAAGAATTAACTTATTCATGTTTTGTACTAAGACCTTGCAGTAGCATCACGCTGGGGATAATCTACTATTAATCTAATGTATGTATATTGATGGAATCTTTATTAGTTATCATGGAGGCACAATGCTCATAATGGCAAACAGCTATCTGTCAAGATTGTCTGAAAACTCTGGGAAAAAAACACAAAATGGATTTAAAAAACACATTTTCAGGAGTCTGTGATCAATACGAGCATTCATGGATTTGTTTAGGTCAGGAGTGTCCAAACTTTTTTCATCAAGGGCCACATATCTAAACACAGACGAGGCAGAGGGCCGATCGAGGGCCGTAGACTGGTGCTCAGTACAGTGAATAATTGAAATATGTGCATGTTTAACATGTTAGAATGAGCCACCAGTCTTTATTCATGTTAAGATCCTTAAAACCACAAACTAAATATTAAATATTAGCTTTATCAAGGTAGATTTTCAAAAAGAAAAGAAAAAGAAAAATTTGTCTGGGGGCCACATTTGGCCCCCACGCCATAGTTTGGACTTGCCTGGTTTAGGTGCTCGATTTTGAACAAAAAGTGAGAGTGAAGTATGTAAAGTGTGAAGATTTATTTAGACATTATATTTACTATTTTGCTTAAACAATTTTTTCATTTTATCAATGGCTTTCAGCTTCTCAACAGTGTTTTTTTTTTTTTTTTTTTTTACACCCAATGATAAGAATGGACGCTCAGTTACAAAGTTGTCCTTTTTTATTCAATAAGATTATTACTGTTACACGTCACCACAGATAAAAAACTGCAGCCTGTAAAAAGAGCCACAGTAACAGCATTAATAAGATTAAGTCATATCAAGTATTGTACAATCAAAATGAGGGTTGAAGGTAGTACAATTTTCATCACCAGCACTGAGATGCAGCATGTCCGTCAGTCAAAAGTTGAAGTACATCTTGGAGTAAAAATACACGCCCGTAGTACACACATGCAGTACAAACCAACAAAACTACCAGCTCCACACACACAGAGCTGAACTACATAATACAACTGCCTTTGAACGCACCTCTCCTGGCACTTATCACTATCACAAATATCCTTCAGAAGTCAGTCAGGTTAACACACAGATTCAGGATGTGTTCTGATCGTTCACAGAAGCAAAGCACTTTTCCATACAAAACTAACGCAAAATATCAAATAATAAAGGAAGAACTCTTTGTACAAAATCTATAAATTTTAAAGGCATTAGTTTTGTTTTAAGCATTTACAGGGTGAACTGGTTTTCAATAGGTTTCTGTATAGTTTGTATTTGATGCTAAATCTTCAGCCATTTACTGTCAATGTTAAAGCTGCATTGTGTAACTTTTCTGGTGGAGGGTGCGTCAAATGCTTTTCTCCATAGAGATGTATTCCGGAATGTTTCACAGTATGGTATTAAAACTTTCTATCTTCATTGAGACCAAGCCAGACTAAAACCCTGTTTACACTGAAACAAATCTGCGTATCATCGTATCACCGAATCGGAAATGATCTGTGTCCACACATGTCGTTTCTGTGTCCTCAAACCTTCCTTATCCACACAGCTTTGAGCATATTTGTTTACGTTTGTGTACTGATGCGGTTCAGCTTCTGTTGGACTTAAAAAAGGACATGACTCAGTGGATTATATGTGTTCTTTCTGTGACCGAGGGGTGTTCTGCTGATGGTGAGTCTCTTCTGTGCTTCTATCGTGTTGGAGATGGTTCATGTGAAACTTTTCAGAGATTATACGTCTGCATATATGAATATATGATAGCCTCTTAGTGTTTTGGCGGTGAATTAGCTACTTTGCGGTGCATAGACCTACATCAGCATATCAGCGTTTTCAGGTGTCCACACAGTGCTGGATCTGATCCGTACTCAGATGAATTTGTGGGAGCTGGCTGCACCAGATCGTTCTGGCTCTGGATCCATTTTCAATCGGATTAGTGTGGATGAACACTGCATCTGTAACGAAAACGACTCGAACACATCTTCCAAGTCAGATCTATGGAGAGGCGACTTCGCTCACAGTGAGAATGCCTGATTTTCTAGGTATTTCTGAGCTATAAAACCACCTGTAATTTAATAAATATAAGGTAGAGCTGTTTAAAGTTATACTGTGGAACATTCCAAGGAGAGCAATGACACATACGTAGAAACAAACCGGTGACGGACCCCCAACCAAAAAGCTGCATAACGCACCTTTAATGAATACATACACAGAGTTGTAAATGTTATTGATTGAGTGGTGGGAAAATAGCACTGTTCCTATTAACAATTCAAAACAAAATATTATATTATAATATTATTTATTTTGTGTTATGTGCTCTCCTAAAATTACAACTCTCTGTATGTTATGGTGAATTGTTACATTCTTACTTGAAATGCTATCTAGAAATAAAGGCATTTTTCTTTTTTGTCCACAGATAAAAATGCTTGTTATTTTATACACCCTGACTCCAATCCTTCACCTTTTTGCAACAAATGGAGCTCAACAGTGATTTCAAGGTTCCAGAGATAAAGTTGCCAATAATTTATTCCATAGACTGAAAAAGACTGAACACTAGCTCGGGGCTAATCAGATATATTGTTACTAATGACTACAAGACCTATGAATGTTTTATTTGAAATCTATTAAACTTTATGAACTGATGAGTTAAAACAGCCGCGTTATAGACATTAGCTACCACAGTGTAACCTCTGTCAGGCCTTTAAACCTTTAAAAGAGCACTACATAACATTTTTAGAGGAGGGTCCACCACCTGCTTGTCTCCATGGAAATGGTATTGCTTTGTCTAAAATGTTTCACAGTATAGACTAGAGCTATCTATCACAACAGACAGGCAGGTTACAGCACTATGCTACATTACAGTTCAGATCTATGGAGACTCGCCCTTATTCGCAATAGGAATTCATGTATTTTTGAGCAATAGAAACCTCCGTAATGAATAAATTTTAGATCTACTACTGTATATGTTTAATGCAATACGTGGGAACATTCCAAGCAAAGCAATAACATCTCCAAATAGGTAGTGGATCCTGCACCAGAAATGTTGTCAAATGCACCTTTATTATGTCAATTTTATGGGAAATGAATGGGAAATTGACTTCTGGAATATCGTCAGGTTTCTGTTGAGCTCCACTGACCATGGGCGCAGGTTTTGTTCAATTTTGTGAGATTAAATTGTCTGTACATAACTTAAAGGGCTCAAAACAACACATGTGGAATCATGGATACATTTTACAGGGCTTGAAACATCATGACTGTAACATCATTAGCAGCACACCCATAGAGTAGGCATTGTAAGCGCTTGTTGCCATAAATGTTAACATAGATTTACACGGCTTGTAGCATGGTCCCGCCAGGATCTTGTTCCGCCTGTTACATATGTGGTTTATGGGCTGCTGCTTCAGTGGATGGGCTTCGATTAAGACTCCCATTCTGCGGTACCAAAGGGCCAGTGCACACGGCTACGGGGGAATGGCATGCTAGGGAACAAACGCTAATCTCCTTAGCACTGCTCCAAGCTCCAAAGCAGGTTTTCTATCTTTGCAAAAGAACTGACTGCTTGAGTTGTTTTGCTTTCTTCGCCTCTTTTCTACAGGGACCCCTCTCTTTGCATTTGGCCCCCTCTAAAACAATAATCCAATCTGTGAACAGACGTTTTATGTATACTCATTTATTCCCACAAGCGGCAAGTTCTTTCTGAAATTTCTTGCGTACAAAAATGAAATTCCCTCATTTGGTTTGGTTTATTTAAAATGCAGCTCCAGTGCTGTTTATTGATCACGGCTAATACTTTAAACTGCTGCTTATTCATTCAGAGATTCCATTTGGGTATAAAGTGTTATGTTTATTTTTCTAAGCACTGGCAGTACATGTGGAAAACCTTGTACTGCCTTAATTTCCTGGATTTCTCAAGGGGACTTTAATCGAGCAAATCCTACAAGATTTACTGTTATATCTCAATATCTTCTTTAAACAGCCACAATGATTTTAAATTTGAGTGTTGTGTTTGCAAAATCTGGGGTAAACTTTGTAATTATCTATGCTTCTTGACTTCTTGTCTTAGTGATTCCCAGTGGATGTCGTAGAGTCCGGGCTGTAGGCAGAACATGCACGCGGGGAAAACCTGATCTCCAGCTGTGTACGAGCCGTCTGACATCCCAATTGTGGTTTGCGTCTGCTGTCTCTTCAATTTCACATTTTAAATAAAGCTGATGTTGGCTTTCGAAACACTGACAATTGTTTGTTTTTATATATAAAAAATGATACAGCCAAGTCTTGGTTCGGATCTACTATAACATCCGCTCGTTTTGCAGCGTCTTGTAGTAGTGTTCTTGCTCCGTGTGGCTTCGGGCAGAGCCGGATGGTCGCCGTGGCAACGTGGAGCTGCGGGACATTGCCTGGCTGTGGCTGTCCATGAGCAGGTCGGGGTGAGGCGGAGGGGGCAAAAGGGTGGAGGGGTGAGGCGGCGGGGGCATCTGGGAGGACGGGTGAGGAGATGTAGACATTTTGGGCAGGGGTAGTTGAGAAGGGTGATAGTGCATTGAGGTAGGAAGAGGGGGCGGGGGCATGTGAGCGGAGGGGTGGGGCGGCGGGGGCATGACGTGAGACGGGTGGTGCATGTGCGAGGGCAGGCGCGGCGACGGGGGCATTTTGGAAGACTGCGGGGGCAGTGGGGAAGATGAGGAGCTGGGCGGAGGGGGGAGGAGCGGGGAAGAGGTCGGGAGCGGAGGTGGGGGCATGTGGGAGGAGCTTGAGTGGGAGTGGGAGGAGCTATGGTGCGGCGGGGGTGGCATGTGGGAGGAGCTTGAGTGGGGAGGGGTGGGGCTGTGGGAGGAGCTGTGGTGCGGCGGGGGTGGCATGTGGGAGGAGCTCGAGTGTGGCGGCGTAGGGGAGTGGGAGGAGCCATGGTGCGGTGGGGGAGGCATGTGGGAGGAGCTTGAATGGGGAGGGGTGGGGCTGTGGGAGGAGCCCGAGTGATGGGGCGGGGGCAAATGGGAGGAGCTGGGGTGAGGGGGCGGGGGCATGTGGGCGGAAGCTGGCGGGGGAGGGAGCGTGTGGGAGGAGCTTGAGTGCGGAGGGGGCGGGGTGTGGGAGGAGCTTGATTGAGGAGGTGGCGGCAAATGGGCAGAGCTAGGGTGAGGAGGCAGAGGCATGTGGGAGGAGCTTGAGTGAGGGGGCGGCGGGGGTATCGGCGATGGGGAGGGAGGAGGTGGGAGCGGGGAGGAAGACAGCTGAGGAGGGGGAGGTAGAGGAGAAGGAGAGGTAGGTAATGCCGGAGGTTCAGGTGGGCCCTCAACACTGCCCCCTGTTGAAGAGGAGTGGGAGTCTGTTTTGACCGGGAGTCCTGTAATCCCGATACTGGCTCACGTTGTCCTGGCGCTGCAGAGCTCCACGATGCTTGTCTCCAGATGGGTCGGTACTGATCATGTTCCCGCTGATGGTGTTCCTCCATTCCCACGGTTTCCCATTTGGGGCAGACACTCGGACCACGGGGTGATGGGGGGCGTGGGCGTCTATGGTGACGATGCTCCCACTCCCGGCGATGCTTCCCGGGTTACTCCCACTGCAGCTGTCCCGGTCGGAGGGGATCCGGTAATAAGGAGACTCCGAGCAGGAAGAGCCGCCTCCAGACGATGAGCCCTCAGAGCCCTGCTGCTTGGACATCGCTATGACCTGGAAAAACAGACAGATACAGTCAAGATGAATTCAAGTGCCAAAGTATTATTTTTCTTTTTTACGTAACTGAACTTAAACTGAACTGTAGGCAGCTTCAACTTTGAATTCAATATATGCCTTCTGTTCTCCTCTGCATACAATAGGATTATATGGTGGATAGCTGCGGGTTATTTTAGGTCGTTATCTAATGGAATATTGTGATGTTTTTTTTTCATGGTTCCCCTGGGCTTATTGCTGGGTGTGCTTTGTCAACAGTTTTTACAAGGTGAGAAAAGTGATCTTGTAAAAGACTGCAGAATCGACTAATTGGCTCGGTCACCACTAAAGGTACTGACTTACATTTTATCACCTATAATTTATTTTTGAAATCCACTGACAGTATAGCAGTGCATTGAATACTCATTAGTGAAATGCCAGCTCTATGTTGTTGCGTGTATGTTTTATAAACAACATTAATCACAGGTATGAAGCAGTTGGCAGCAGCACGCCTCCTGTTTGAGCTGTATATTTTACAGCTGGCTGCGTGCCACGTGATGTTAAATTGAAAATCTATAGTAGTTGATGCTTGTGCTGTTCGTGTGATTTGAAGTGCTCATTTAATGATCACCTGTGTGACTCGCTGCTGGCTGGGCGGCTGGCTGGGCTGGGTGTTGGGGACTCTGGGAGTGGAGACAGCGATGGGCCCAGGGCTCGGCTCCTTCGTCCCTCCCCCCTCTTGGAGTGAGAGCCACTTCGCTCGGGTCTTGGCACTCTTTGGAGAGACAGGAGGTGGGCGAGTAGCCTCTTCAGGGATGTGGACCAGTGGGGGAGCCATGGCGACGCGGGGGGGTGTTGGAGTGGCGCTGCCTTTGGCTTGTACTGTGGGGTAGAGGGAGGAGGGCATGGCCTGTTCCGAGTCTCCTGCTGCTCCTTCATCTCCGTCAGTTCTGTCAGGACCATCCTCATCCTCTCGAGAGCTCTGACTGCGCAGCTCCAGGGACCGCTGCTTCCACTCCGACACCAGCTGCCGTGACCTCTGAGAGTCATAGGGCACGTGAAAGGTCATGTGACGCTGTGTAGGGATTGGCTCATCTGAGGGTGAGATGGGGCTGTTGCCATTGGCAACTCGGGGTAAGGTGTTACTGAATGTCACCATGGTTTCCTTTCCCATGGGCCCCCTGGTGGCCAGCAGCTCTACGTCAGCACTGGCCCTTTTCAAAGAGGCCAGTGATGCCTTCTCTCTGCGGACCTTACTGCGGCCCCCGGCCCCCAGCCCGGCCCCCAGCTCCTCTCTGCTCTCAGACGCCCTCGGGGTCTTTCTGTACAGGGAGTCATGTCCGCGCTGACTCAGCACCCGAAGGTCCTTTTGCTGGGCCAGGGTGAGCCGAGAGACACACGGAGCGTCCTCCTCTGAGGCTTTAAAGTTCCCCACTGCATACACAGCCTACACAACAGAGAGAGGAGGGAGACATAACCACGTTAAGACACAACACGAGCATGAAAGCCTCTCTCTAATCTGTGGGAGGGTAAATGCTCCTATTCATTTACAGCAAACGCATAAACAGGCCATGCTCCCCTCTGCTGTGCAGTGTGTGGTCAGTATGAAGCACTCTACTCTGCAATGATAGAGGAAGAGCTCAGAAAAGGGGTCTATGGGAGAGAGTGGAAAGCATGGCTAATGGCTAAGACAAGTTTTCTTAAATTGAACTGAGAAATTGTTCCAGCAAATTCTTATCGGATTATTGCTTCGCTCTCTCACGCCCCTTCTGTAATAGAAGCAGCTATATATAGGCTGCCAAAAGAACACACAGAGAGAGAGAAGCATAGAGCTAATCAAAGAGATGAAACAAACAGGGCATTTGTAACACACGCTGTGATGGTGTGAGAAAAATACAATGGCTCCGTTTAGTAACAGCCAAACATCTGAACTATGTTTGGATAGTTAGTCATTATCACCTCTCTGAAAACTGACTCTGAACTTCTGCCTTAACAAAAGCAGAAAAAACATATTGTAAGCTGGAATCTGTCCAAAGGGCTGAGTTCAAGTGAATACATCAATTTTTTAAGAGTTTAAAAATTGAACTGAAGGGCAGGTCAGGCTAACCTATAACATTTTCATGGAGACAAGCAAATGGAGCCAGAAAAGTTATATAACGCACCTTTAATATCTCTGTAATTACTGGGGCCACATGAAACAAACACCTGCATAAGTTGTCAATCTGTCCCAGGGCAGCTGTGGCTACAAGAGTAGTTTACCACTACCAAGTGTGGAGTGAATGAATAATGCAATGTTTTGAGTGTCCAGAAAAGTGCTATTTAACACTGATCCCTTATTGTTATTATAAAGTTCCAACACTAATGAACTACGCTAATATTTCTTTCACTTTTGTTTCAATAACTATTAGTTGAAAGAGCTTATGAATTATGGATTTCAGGTTTTTCTGTTTGGTTACATCTTGTTAACTGTCTGTTTAAACCCCTGCCCTTCACAAATGACAAACCTGATCATTTATATTGGTGAGAAGGTCCTTATCACACCCAAAATCAGCATATTGTTATTTTGTGCGCCCACCATCGAGGAATAGAGAGTAATCTGACATCCATAAATACTGACCAGATAGACTCCGATGCCCGCTCCGATGAGGTATCCCACATACACGTCTATGGGGTGACTGCGGTGCTGCGTGATCTGTGTCAGCCCGGCCAAACCCGCCGCCATACAGAACCCAAACACCAGCAGAGGCTTCAGGAGCTTAGTGGTACTGCTGATACTGGCATTGAAATACATCTGTGGAGAGAAACATTTAGTATGACCGGGAAGGACAGGATCAGGGTGAATACTGTGTGTGCAGTATTAAAAAATTTATGACGGCAGCTAGTAATGTGAAAGTACCAGCATTTCCCATTAAAGGTGCACTACGTAAATCTTTGGTTGGGGGTCCATCACGTGCTTGTTTCTATGAATATGTCATTGCTCTGCCTGGAATGTTCCACACTATCTTACATTCATTCAATTACAGATGGTTTTATCTCTCAAAAATAACCAGAAAAACAGGCAGTCTGACTGTGAGCAGGGTCACCTCTCCACAGATCTAACCTGTAACTTTGTCTGGTTGGTCTCCATGCAGATAGAAAGATAGACAACGCAATAATGTGTCCATGGAGAAAAGCATTTGACAGACCCTCCACCAGAAAAATTACACAATGCACCTTTGATAGAGGAAACTACTATGTTGGCCTCCATTTTCTAACCTTTGCTCTTATGTATGAAAAAAAGTCATTTTTGCTTGTTGCATTATCATACCGTTTAATATTTATTCAGCCCTTTTGCATTAATCGAGGCATATATTATCAGAGGCCATTTACTTCAAACATGTACGCATGCAATTATTCAAATAAGGATTTGCTGTGCCACCGTAGTCCTGTGGGAAACGCTGAGTATTTGCATTTGTATTTGCAAGCCTATACACATACATTATGAGATTACATTTTTTAAGCAAGTTTAACCCTAATCCAACCAAATGATATAAAGAAAATTACCACAAATTTAGATTAGAAGGGCGTAGGTTTGCAGCATAGGGACGGTGGGGACATGTCACAACCAATATTTGGGGAAGACAAAATAGTCCCTTCCAATATTTGCCATTTTATTTGAATAAACAAAAATATCTATTTATTCTGATATTTTTCCAAACTCAATAGTATTAATTTAACATGTTTAAGTTCACATTTTGTTTATTAGATGTTCTGAGATGTATTCAGTGATATGAAGACAGGGTTGCCCACGTTGCTGTTTCATTGGCTGCCACAGAGTGATGTCATTAGTGGTGCCAGGAGCCTAAACTGGGGAAGCGGCAGGACAGGGCCGCACCTGAAGATGGCGTCTTGAGCAGGCGTGAGTGAAGACACTGTGCACCAAACTTTGAAACACTTTTCAAAAGTAACTTACTTGGCTTCATCTTCAATTAAACTTGTCTTATAATGAGTCGCCACAGAAAAAGAGCAACCATCACCACATGTGCTCCTCCCAAACAGAGCCCTACACATGTGCTCTGTTAGCAGCCCGACTCTACTGACAATATTCCATGGAAAAATGTTTGGACATGACCTCACAAATATCTCATCACCAACAAGCAAAGAGAAATCTGCTACAAACTTCTACATCACTGTTATCAGCTAAAGAATCACCTTAGAAGGGCAATGGGCACAAAGTGTACATTTTGCGAACTGAAAAGTGAAATCACCTTTCACTTATTTTAGACCTGCCCAGACTCTGTGTGTTTTTGGAAAGAATTCATAAAACATATGAATTCATAAAACATAAAGTTGAGATCAAACCTACGCCCTTGAAGATAAATGTCAAATATCTGTCGGTTTTGTGAAGACTATTTTGAAGTCTTTTAGTAGTGGTCTATCCATTTAGCCAACCACAAACCAAACGAGAAAAAGGAGATCAAAAATGAACCTTGAAGCCAGATCTTTGTAAAATCATCTTTTATGACTCTTTTCAGGTGGTTTACTTTGACTGAAAATGTCTTCTTTAGAGCTAACCGTATACTTGACAACTGTGGATTAAGATCTGATAGGTGCTGAAGAGGAGAGAGCACATCTTTACATTCAGGCTGCACCATTGTTTGATTATATAAGGCGGTGAAGGACAGATGACGGACAGGGAGGCAGCCTATGCAAGAAAACTTAACAAGCTTGTCAATCTTTACAACACAATAGAGGAAGGCCATTTGCGGCTTTCCACATTTACAAAATCCCATGTGTTGCACTGTATGTAAAGCAAGATAAGTTTTGGGTACTTCGCCTGAATTTTGACACCTCGTAACCATAGCAACGAGACTGAAATTGTGAGTTTTAATGAGAGTGCATTGGGCTCGGTGGAGCAGTGATGAGGCCAGTAGCTGCTTATAGGAGCCAGAGGGGCCTGGTTAGTGTGTGTGGCCAGAAAAAGATGATACACGCACACTACTGTCCACATATTGCAACTGTCAGCGCTTATTTAATACTGAAGAAATGTAGCAGAGTCTGAAGTTGCAGTCTAGTTACACTTTTAATAGGAACTGGTCCAGGGATTGTCTGCGGAAAGACCACAAACTCCCAAAAGCCAAATAATGACTTTTTAACATTATGCAGGCAACAAATCTATTGTGGCTAATGAGGATAGTTCAGACAAGAGTGGGAGCACCGGGAGAGTGATTAACATTCTAATTTCCAGGTAGATTCTGTAGCAAAGGAAAATTTCATTCTGTCTCTTCAAATTTTGCAATTTCGTGTAAGAGACAATATAGAATTTGGTCTACCCTGCCCATGGTTATAGATCCTTAAAGCTCCCATATTACACTATTTTCTGATGTTATAATGTTGTTTCCTCATCACAAACAGACCTGCATTGTTGTTTAGTTTCATTCACATGTTTAACACACAAATCCTGCATATTTAGGCTGAGTACAGAAAACATCCTGTTCCATCTTATGATGTCACACGGTAATACAGAAACACATGCACCTTCACTAGGGTCATTTGGATGATTTCACACAGGATTATTCAAACATGTGAGAAGCTCACAGGAGTCAGTTTTGTGTATTATAGGGCTTTTAATATATCTTTACTGTGAAATACATAGGGATTTGCTCAAAAGGGCAGATGACAACTTCTTCTCTCCACAGACCTTTTTCACAATGACGTGAAGTGCAGAGATGTAGGGTAAACGTCACTTATGTTAATGCTTTTCCATGGCAAAATATCATGGAAATGTCTCAGTGTAGTAGAGTAGTTCACTAATGCTAGTCATTGTTTGCCTTCACGATTTCGTCTTTCTTACCTTGATAGTTGTGGATACATTTTTCATGGACAGATTATGTCCTTTGTCGAACCTTGATGGATGAAGATTTGGTGATGGGTAGGCAGATTTATAACCTGATTCATCAGCTGGTTTCACTTCGTAGAAACCGTCTAACCTTGCAGCATTAACATTCGTTCGCTCGACAGGAGCCGGGTACTTTTTTCATTTAACCAACCGCTGCTATTTGGTTGTGACGTATGTATTGCACTGCTAAAGGGGTTAACTGTTATATTAAGCTTTTCCCAAATCCTGTAGGAAGAAGGACAATAACGTCTTTCCCCTTGATAAAATTCAGCAAACATTCTCTTTGTTCCGGCTTTAAATCCATCTCGAGAATCGTTGCCAACACAGAATGTATGGCTCTTTACTGATTGGCTGGTGCCTGAACTCGCACTTCCGGGGTTTTTGCGAACCGTCTAGTGTATTCTGATTCCTGACCTAGCCGCTGGAGAGAAATAAAATTGAGCGGAGGCACTAGGTGGTGCCAGCCTGGCTAGTCAAATTTATGAAGCTGGTGAAAAATACGCAAGACATTTCCACAGATATTTTGCCACAGAAAAGCATTAATGTAAGTGACGTTTACCCTAAATCACGGCACTTGCATCATTGTGAAAAAGGTCTATTCCTTTCGATTTATTCTATTCTATTCTATTCTATTCTATTCTAACTACATTATTGTTTGTTTGTTTTGTTATTGGGTTTTTAAAATAGTTTTGAGTGTATTTTATGAATGAAATAAAAAGGTAGACAGACACGTTGATAGCCTATGATAACTTGCTGAATGTCTCTCTCCACTCTTCAACCCTATAGATAGACAGATACTGTGAATATTGTTCAGTCAGATTGGAGCTGTAAAGAAGTATCGCCTATAAGAGTTGATTCTACAGTGAAGAAAGAGAGAGAAATCTGTCACTCCTGCCTCTCTCCGTTCTTAGTTATATTTTAGTTACCAGATTCACACCGGTCCAACCACCTGTCCAAATATACTTTAATGGTGAGCCCCACGTAAAGCCTAAAGTATAAAGTTTTACCATAGCAGCTTTTTTAAGACACAGATGTTATTGAAAAGTATTAAATAAGGATTGCTTACGGAAATGTAGACAGCAGCAAAGCCTGAGAGGGTTGCATGCTGCGAAGGAAAGGTTTTCCTGAAGGCAGAGAAAAGGGAAATATGTTCACAGTAAATAAGACGGATAACAAGCAATTATAAAGACTTTTTGCCAAGATAAGACTTCATTAAAACATGCAGAGAAAAGCAGATCTGATTGCAAAGTGTCAAGTGTTTACCTTCTATTAGACAGCCCATATTATGCTATTTTCTGGTATAAATTATAATGTTTCCTCATCAAAACCATACCTGGAGTTGGTTTTGATACTAATAAAGGATTACTCAGGTGTATGAATGAAACAAAACACAACTCCAGGTCGGTTTTTGACGAGGTTAAAGATCACAAGAGTTAATTTTGTGTAATATAAGAGACTTTAAGTGATTAAGCTATTAAGAGAGGTATATATGTTAATTGCACTAATACATTTTAATGGTCCAGCTGTTGCAGTTACTTTAAGACCTGTAGATTATGGCCAATGAATCCAATGAGTGCCTCTGATGGCTATTCATTCATGCAGGATTATCTCTGTATCCACTCTATTAACACAGGGATCCCAGTGCACTCTGCTCGTCATACGCCTCATTTGTTTTTCTGCTGTTGCCCTGTTCACTATTACAGTATCATTATATTTAACACAAATACAACACAAATAAACTCAAAATATAAACAAATTGCAACAGTATTTTAAAGAATGTGTTTGTTTATGTCCTGTTGGTAATAACTGTGCTGCTAATTAGTGATTTCAACATTTGTCTTCCTCATTGTTACCAGAAGAGGGCGACAGATACCTAATCCAAGTATTAGTTTTACAATTGTATTTATATAACTGGAAATGCCAGTAATTAAAGCATAATACTAAACTGAATAGGGGTGTAACGATATCCAAGTCTCACGATACGATATCATCACAGTATGAACTTCACAGTACGATATTTATTGCGATATTGTGGGAAAGCTCACGATTAGGGATGTAAGAATATCCAAATGTCTCTGTACAATATTTTCACGATATAAATCTCACGGTACAATATTTTGTGTGATTTTAGCCAAGCGTGATGGATGAATTTGGCTGATCGTTTATAGAGCAGGCCATTCTGCACTGGAGCACTGTGGCATTTTATTTTGTAATTGGCTTTTTATATGTGTTTTGTGGATGAATGAAATGTGAAATGTGGAACCTGCCTCTCAAATCTGCACCTACGGGTACGAATAAAGCAACCTAACCTAAACTAAAACTGTGAATATGTGACTTTTTCCTCTTAAAATGCCTTGACAAGACTTAATCCAAAGAACTTAGACTTAAAAGTGCTTAGAACTGTTATTTCTTCTTGTAGTTTACTCTGAAATGGAGCAAAGGATCATGGTCTATGTACTTCCCTGTGTCTTTTTTTAGCTGTTGCTGCACTAGAACTCTTAATTTAAGCAAAGAGACTTGTGATTTGATATATTGTGATGGTGCACGATATTATTGTGAGAACTTTGACGATACGATATATTTTGATTATTGTTACATCCCTAAAACTGAACTATTCATAAACTCCCAAATTATTTTATCATCACTTTAAAAAGCATTATACAGCCACATTTTAAAGATGCACTATGTAACTTTTTGAGCGTCCGCCATCTGCTTGTGTCCATTCAGATGTTATTGCTTTGCAGAGAATGTTTCACAGAATCACACTGAACCTATTCGTCTTGGGTGAATTCAACTGCAAATGTTTTTAGTGGTCAAAAATCTATTCTTCTCCTGAATTCTTACTGTGAGCCTCTCCATAGACCTGCTTGTTTCCATAGAGATACAGTAGACAAGTTGAACTCCACACTGTGAAACAAGCACATGCAGGGCCAACTTCTATAAAAAGTAAATAGTGCACCTTTAAAAAAAAAAAAAAAAAAAAACACTGTACACCACTTTTATGACTTTTTAGACTTTTTAACATGCCTGTTTTAACCTCCCTGTCCTCACCTGGCGGACATGATGGCGTACAGGTCCTTGCCCATGCAGATGTCCTGTGTCACGTAGGCGTTGTTGTCACATGACACGCCCGGAGCCGTGTAATTGGGCTGACACACGGTGAGGAAGAAGGGGGCGTGGTACCCGGTCGCCAACTGGATGACATCTGTCACCAGGGCCGTCGCCAGGAGACCGAACACATGCACACCTGAGGGACACACACACAAAGCATGATGGGAAAATGAGGTGCTGTTGCAGTAAATGAGCAGAAATCCTCTGGTGGCTTCTTCACATTGAGACGGTTAATTCTGAGCACCTGCGCTAGGATCTTGAGTTCACTCCAGCATCGTCGAGTTATGAAACCTTTGAAAAAATCTCGGCAAGGTGAATTAATCATGTTTTTCACTTCAAAGCTGAAAGTCTGCCTGGAGATATTTCACATAAATGGTTGTGTCATTCCTGTTACACTTTCATAACACACTGGATTAGTTTATTTAAACCCCAGAGACCTTTGGAGCAAATGAGTTCAGCCTCACTGTAAAAGATGACTGGCGTAAGATGATATTACCTCACAGACAGTGGAGAATGTGATAAAAATATACATAATTGGTGACTCCTAATTGGTTAACATGCTTAACCTAAAAGGAAGAGAATATTATACTATACTGTTGTTTTCATCAGTATTCCCTCTTAATTAAAGGGCCCATTACGCTATTTTCGATCTATGTTATAATATTGTTTCCTCATCACAAAAACACCCAGAGTTGTGCTTTGCCTGATTCACACGTTTAACACACAAAACATGCATATTTCAGCTCACTTCTTCTCTCAAACAGAAAACACTCTGTTCCACCTTGTGATGTCATGTGGTAATACAGAATGTGCTACATTGTGTTTTTAAACATCATTCACCATTCACTTTCAGTACAATTATTTGACTAATTTCATCCCTGGAATTGCCAGTTTCTAAATTAAATTACTAAATAACTAAATTAAAGTTATATGGTTACTACTAAACTACCACTTCATGACATCACAAGGTGGAACAGGGCATTTTGAGTTTTGGAGATGTAGACAGACTAATAATAAAAGATTACTCAAACATGTGTGAATGAAACAAAACACAAACCCAGGTATGATTTTGAAGAGCTCATATGAGTCAGTTTTGTATAGGACTTTTAAATACAAATTGTAATTTTGTAGAATATTTTAATACTTTTTGCACCAATCAAAATCATCCTGAAAGATTGAAAAAAAAATTTTTTTTTGGAAACAATACCTGTTTGCATTGCCTGCATATTTGTGAGTGGCACTTTCCATAGCAACTTTACAAGCAAGACATAAAATTGCAACAAAATTAAACTTTTTACCACATTGACACAGATGGAAGCACTCACCTACAAATCGCACCGTTCTCCTCAGAAATGAGTTGAAGCTGCAGCCTCCAGCGTTGATGCTGCTTTCAGACTTGGGGCAGGACTTGAGTCTAGACTGCATACAGTACATGACCCCCTCCCCGATCATGATCTGTGCACACAAACACCAACTATTAGACCCGGGAAACCACTGGAAACCATTCAAGCTTATAAAGACACACTATGGAACATTTCAAGTAGAGGATCTGCCTTCTTTGCCATGAACCTCATTGGTTTGTTTGCCTGTATATGGTTATGCCTATATGTTTCACAATCTGGCAGTAAGGTGGTGCAGCCAGGTTAAGTTAAGAATCAGATCTATGGAGAGGCAACCCCACCACCCTCCATACACAGAAAAAAAAGTTAGTTGTAATTGGGGGGAAAAAGCAAGTTAGCCAAGTTTAATGCTGTACTGTGGAACATTCAAGGCAACATCAGCAGACATGCAGGTGATTGACCTCTTACAGATTACAAATGCACCTTTAATACACAACACAGTGTAAACAGAAATGAAAGCATGCATGCAATGAAATAGAATGATAAAATTTATATAAAAATGTAAAAAAATTGAAAAAATACAGTTAGAACTTAGACTTAAATAAACTTTATTGATCCAGTAGAGAAATTATTTGGAAATGGATTGAGGGGAGGAAAAAAAAAATCCTGTACAGACCATTTTTTAACGTTTTTCGATAATCTATACTTTTTACAATATTGACAAGAAACTATAAACAGCATTAACCCTCTCCAGGCAGGCGTTGCAGATTTGCAACAGCTAAATGCCAATTACCTACTTACTCCAAATCCATATTTTATGAGCTTTTTTTTACTCAGGAGCCTTTTTTCCATCCATACTGATAAACATGGACGATGCAGACTTTGCAAGAACGGCTACACACAAACAGCCTGCCAGAAGAGCAAAGTACTTTTGTTGTTTACAAAGGATAAAAATTGTTTCTTGGAGTACCACACGAAAAAGTGATGTTGTTCTGCCACTGTAAAGCTCTGTGACACTGCTTTATGTTTTCATTGTTATGAAAAGTGGTATACACATAAAGTTAGCGTTCATATCATTTTCAGTCTTCAGTGTTAATTTACCACACCGGACCAATGCTGCAAATCTGCAACATCCCAGAACGCATTGGATGTGAAGGTCTCTCTCAAAAAAAGTCAGGATTGTACATTACTACCCTATATGATCATTTTCCCCAAATATCAGATGTTTTCCTGTTACTAAAATTTGATTTGAGCCTGAGAGGGTTAAGGTCAGAGGTGATGGCTGCTGTACAGTGAGAGAGTCCCGATGAGGCCGGGGGCTAGGAGCTGTCGTGCCCTGATCACTTTGAATGCGTGTGATAGATGAGAGCTGGAGCGCCTGTACGTTTCTATGGCTCTGATGGATAGGACCACTGTGTGAGTGAATGTGTGCATTGATTCTGGGACCTCTGCTGTTTATTGCAGTGTCAGGTGAGTAATTATCAGCATGTCCATCGATTGTAGACAGAGATTTGCTTTGGCGTGGCATATTGGACATTCTGTCGCGTGGTATGCAAAGAACAAAGTATTGTGTTTTAAAGGATGTGGACAAATGCTACTGTAAAGGAAAGTAGCAGTTGGGGAGTCTTATATATCTTGCAATGATAAACAAATTGTACGCAAAGCTGCTTGGAATCATACTTGTTGTTACTCTAAATATCAAAATTATGTATATATTAACTCAAAATTGACAAACTATGAATTTTCGCAAGGAGTATTTTCATCCCTCTCATTATGTAAACAGTACCTTTCATGAATCAGATAACCCAATAATTACATAATTTTTGGTGTGTGGTGTGTGTTTACATGCACAAAAGAAATCAAAAACAATCACTCGATTTTTAGAGTAACTGTTGTATTTGGAAGTCAAAGACAAACCTATTATATTAAAATAACTCAGCTCAACTCAATCTCAGCTCAATTCATTTTCTTTTCAATTCATTTTCTTTTTTGTTTTTGTTAGATTAGTTTGCCATTTCTTGCATATTTTTTATTGTCAAAACCTGAACAGCCTAAAATCAGATTGCTCTCATCAAATGCAACTGTTGACATGATATTTCGGTAATCTGATAACTCCAGAAATCAGATAATGATCACATTTTTGGTGCACGTAAACAAAGCCAGTGATGATCCATTATAGGTCATTATCGGTCTAATCTAATCTTAGAGTAGCTACCATTAGATTAAAATGTTTCCCAATATCTCAATAACTGGTGATTACATTTACAAGAAAATTCTGAACAATTTCTTTCCAGTTTACTCTTAAAAAATATGTTGGCACAGTAATGTAGCCTATGCATCTCCCAAAGGATCCTCAAGAGCTGAGCAGACATGAGGTCATTGAACTGCAAAGACTGTGGTTTTTGTTCCAGTAAATCTCCACTCAACATGATACAACAGCAACGCTTCCAGTATTCTGTGTTTTGGCTTAGTCTGCAAACAATTCTATAAAACAATAATGAAACAAGTTATGGATCGAGAAGTAAGTCCCTGCATTCGTTTGCAATTACAGCAGATTCTCTTTGATTGAACGACAGCTGCATTTTGTACATTTCAAACTTTACTGAACATTGAGCTTCTCTCTTCTTCTATTTATTTTTGCTTCTCAGTCTCAATCAATCACATCCATCATTTAGGTGCACTCTCTCTCCCCTCCATCATCATGCATTGTCAGCCTAACTGTTGGAGATATTCGGGGTCGTGCAGTAATTTAGTATTAGTGCTAAAACTTTCTTTCTATAATTGCTAAAAACGGCAATATAGATAAGCAAATACTCATCTGAATTTCAGAAATGTGCTGCTCACAAGTAATTTGCTCTCGGCAGCAAAAATAAACAGACTGAAGCTTTGGCAGTTTTATGTTCTCTTTTAACAGCGCAACAAAATAATGCAACACAAGCAAGAGCACGACCCAGGATTTGTCTCTTACATGTTTATGCATTTTAAGAATCATTTTCGATTAGACTAGGCCAGAGATTAGGGCTGAAACTAATGATTTTGGTAATTGATTATATAGCAGTTATTCTTTTGATTAATTGATTCATTGTTTAGAATGCAAAAGTCCTCTGAGCGTGACATTTTTACAAAATTTTACCCAGATAAAGCTAAAGTGAAGCTGCTTGAGGTAATTCTGATTCAGAGTATATTTACAAACAAATGAAAATGACTTTGGCATAGCAGGTAAATCATCTCGATTTCAAACCATTGGACAAATTTGACAATTTCAACTAAAACACAAAATGTACCAGTTTCTCATCTTCATGCTCTGAATAATGAAGATGGCATGAGAGTAATTCACTGCGCTGAGTAATAAAACTCATTGTGTCTTTTCATGGCATGTTTTGAGTCCAGCAATTATTCGATTACTAAATTAGTTGAAACTTATCCCAATAATTGATATGTTGTGATTAATCGATTCACTTGTAGCAGCCCTACCAGAAATCCAGTTGCCATATATGGTTCCAAACCTCTTGTACTCTCTTGTAGTCCTGCTGTTGTTGACATTTATTCAAAGTCCAAGTGCTCATACACCACACTACCCACATCAGATCTGTCTCTCCTGATTTGTGGTGTATTTATAACTTACCGACGCGGCCGGTCCAGCGAAGGCCAAGCTCAGGAGCATGAGCAAAGGTATGAGCTCGTCGCCCGCCTCCACGTAGGGCATGGAGAGGTCGCGGTCATAGCAACGGAAACCCACCATCGCCGGGGACAACACATCTGTCAGCTCCAGGAAGTACAGGGACACCAAGGAGGACAGCACAATGGGAAGCTAAACATAAAGAAATGTTAAGAAAGATTAGTCAGGTGTTAAACCATAAATAAATACTATGAATGCCAGTTTAAAGTAGCCTCATCAGCCGGTTTAACTTCATGGAAACCGTCTGATCTCGCAGCATTAGGATTTGTTTGCTTGACTGTAGGTGTTTTTTTATTTTTTTATTTAACCAATCGCTGCTATTTGGTCGTATGTAATGTGCTGAATCCAGTAGGAAAAAGGGCAATAACATCTTTCCCCTTGATAAAATTCACCTTTTCTTCAAATTCAAACATTCTCTTTGTTTCGGCTTTAAATCCTTGATCTCGGAAATCGTTGCCAACACAGAATGTATGGCTTCGTCTACAGCCATCTCGAACGCTTTGTTTACTGTTGTGCTGTACCATAAAGTCTGAGTTTGACGTCTCTTTGCTGATGGGCCGGTGCGCGGTCTACAACTTTTGGGATTCTTGCAAACTGTCTAGTGTATTCCGATTCCTGACCTAGTCACTGGAGAGAAATGAAATTGAGTGGAGGCACTAGGTGGCGCTAGCCTGGCTAAGTTTAATGGGCCTGTATTATATTTTGTAATGTTGTTTCCTCATCCTCAAACAGACCTGGAGTTGTGTTTTGTTTCATTCACACATGTTTTACACACAAATCTAGCATGTTCTTCTCTCAAACAGAAAACACCCACGCACACTGTTCCTTCAGATGCCATGTGATAATACAGGAATTTTTCTATGGTGTTTTTAAACTCCATACACCTTCACTAGAATCATCTGGATAATTTCAGTCCTTGGAGTTGCCGATCTCTACTGAACTAAAGGTAAATGGTAGCTGTTAACTTGACAACTACTACTACATAACATCACAAAGTGGAACAGAGCATTTTAAGCTTTTGACTTGAAGACAGATTAATAACAAAGAGCTATCCAAACTGTGAGTGAACAAAACACAACTCTGCGTGTGTTTTTGAGGAATTAAGAGCACTATAACATGGCTAGAGATCACAAGAGTCAATTTTGCGTAATAGTATATGCAGTAAATATGATTAACTGAGGCTCAGGGGCTGGACCACACCTCAGCCACAGCTTATCTCAACCACGCCTTCAATTACCCAGAAGCTCTTTTTATACAGCCTGTCATGCCAACACCATTCCCACCCTGTGTCTCTTGTCTGAAGGCACCATCTTCAAGGAAGTGGGGTTCCGAATCAGCTGGGTGACCATTTTGGCTTGGAGATGGAGCCCCCACCCCGAGTCTCCCCCCAAGCCATCGCCTCTATCCGCCGTCAACAAACATCTTTATCATATTCTATCGTCGTGGAGTGGTCCTTTAACACAGGTTTATCTAACTTTTTTGGTGGAGCGTCTGCCACCTGCTTGTCTCCATGGAGAAATTACTGCTTTCCCTGGATTGTTCAACAGAGTAACATCAAAGCTGCTTGGCATTTATTCACTTACACGCTCTTTAATAGTCCTGATTTAGTAAGGACAGGCAAACGGCCAAGACATTTAGAGGACATATGCGGATCGAAGCAACAAGATTAAAACTGCTATCAGGGAATTCGATTTACTTAACAATCCATAACCCCTTAATTGTGTTGTTTATATGCATGAAATTGTAATCACTTACTATAATAAATACAGCAAATTACCGTACATCCCCAGAGAGGCCAAAGTATAGAAGTGACTCACAGTGTTTTTAGAAGATGAGCTATAGCATAACATTTGACATGAGTCATTAGGCAGGCGCGTGCTTCAAAATAAAAGCATACCTCTACAAAATAAAAGCACGGCAGGAGGGTCATGCTGTCTTTGGGCGGCTTCTTCTTGGGTTTGTGTTTGGGGGACACCATCTTGGGGTGGGACCATTCCGAACCTGTGGGTAAACAAAATGAAAATGAATGAATAAACAGGCAAATCAATAATGTCATATTTTGTGTATTTTAGTTTCAAATCTTTCTGCCAGATTCAAAATGGTCAAAGTTTGATATTAGAAAGTAGGCTGTGTAATCAGTCAGTCCAGGATCCACAGCAAATAAAAGATTCAATTCTGTCAACTGGACAAAGGTTTTAATGTGAAGATGTTTTGACTCTCATCCAAGCGGCTTCTTCAGTTCTTTCAGTTTGCTATATAATGGAGAGTAAGCCGCCTTGCCAAGATTGTGTGAAAAATTGATGAATGTTGCTAGAATTGTGAATATGGGTTGCCTTTTCACAGATTTGGAGATGTGTAATAATAACATGTAACATCTTTCCAAACAGTTTGTTGTAGACAAATGCAGATGTTGAACTGAATGGAAAAGACGAGCGAGAATGCGAACCACTCCACCACTGAGCCACCAGTCCAAATCACAAAGTTGAATGAAACATTATCCATTATCCATTATGTAGGATGAATTGTATTAATACTTTGCAGCTAACGAATACTGAATATTAACTGAAGAATACCGGCTCAAGCGTCCCCCTGGCTTGAAAGTCCCAGCTCGAGTGTCCCATTCTGTCAGCGGGAACGTCCCCTTCCTCCCTCCAGGTACCCGCTTCTCTTGGGCTTCTCTTTGCTGTGCCTGGGAGAGGGGGACGTTCTCGCCGGCTTTTTGTAGGATCACGCACTGTGATGTATTGAGTGGGAAAATCTGCATTCTATATGTTAGGATAAATAACTAGGCTTCTCTAGTTCATTATTGCACTGAGGTCATTTGAAGATAAGAGCTTTGATCACAGCTGTGAGACTTATAGATATTATGTCAAGACAAATGCGTGATATTCCAATCTATCTAAAGGCAGACTAACTAAATAGGACAAGAACTGCTGATAGGGATGATGTCATGACTTGGTAGCCAGATAACACCCTGGATGGAGTCGGATTGGACTGTGCAACGTGCCAAGAGACCTGGTTGACCCGTGCACCAACGAAGAAGAGCTAAGTCTAAACCACGGTAGCCTCCCACTATAGTTTCTGTATAAAAGTCATTGTATAGGCGTAAAACACTGAGTCTCTGTATGGGAATGTCAGCACAGACTCCTTGCACAAGTGTGGCTTTCTAATATTGGAAAAAGTAAATTATTTGGACTTTATTTCTGTTTCAAGTGTACTTTTTATCTAAGCAGAAACTAACAAACACGAAAGGAAAAGGTTGTTTTTCTCAGCGTATATCATAATAAAATGAAATGTGAATGTAGCGAGACCAAATGTGGGGCCTTATTTATGTTATTTTACCGATCTTCCCAAAGCGGCACACATTTTTTCATTAATATCAATATAATCCTCATTTATGCACAGAAATTTACTATGAAATCGTATTTAAATTTTTTTTGGTTCCCCATGTCCTATAGAATCTGTAATTGATTTAGGACGAAATATTCATTATTTCCTTACCTGCTTGGCATGAACATAATCAGCTCATGTGTCATAAAAGCACGGTGCTCATCCTTCCCAAATCAGAATACTTGCTTATGCTCAACATGAACAAATGTGCTGAGATGTACTGTAACTTGTGTTTAAATGTATATAGATTAACTAATTTGGTTTCATAAAGGGTACAATTCAGGGGACTTTCCAGCTGATTTCTTAACTTGAAAGTACTACTCTGTCTGAGGCTTTGTTACATTTTAATCTGAGTATAATTTTACCGCATTCTGATCATAAAAAAATGATTTCGTTGGAACTACAACAGTGGAGCGTGTTTATATTTACTGTGCGCCAATATAACGCCTTTTCCATCTTTGTACACAAATCACTCTGGAGATTGTCTGTCAACAACAACCTGAGGGCAGCTACAGACCACAGAGAAATTCTTCAGAGCTGAGAGAGAAACTAAACAGTGCTAAACATTCACTGCTGATTCCCTAGTAGCTCCTTACATCTGCCCTATCTCCTCTGCTGCGTCCTTTACCCAATTTTCTCCTCCTCCTCCACCTCCGCTTAGATCTCTCTCCAATTCCTCGCACTATGTCCCAGTTTCACTTATCTGAAACTGCCATCTTCCTGCAAATGCACTTAAAGGCCCTGAACCCAAATTGTGTTCCCATGTATTTGAGCAAGAATTGTCTTCCTTTTGAGGTCAAAATAAGTGCTATGTGAGCTGCACCAAATTATGAAGTTTTCTGATATTCTGATTTCAGGAAGTACACATTAGAATGCAAGTTTTTGTTCTCACAGCTTTATCATCACAGCTCTGGTCTCTGAAGGTGTGAAAAGTGCATAAAAACTCATCACAGTGAATAATTAGGATACTCAGAATGCAAAACTTAAAACTTTTGGACCACTGTATAAATGTTTAAAATGTAAAAGTAAAAGATGGCCACCTCTTCATGACATCACGAGGTTGAACAGAGCATTTTGAGCGTTGGAGATGTAGACAGACTAATAATGCAGGATGTGAATGAAACAAAACACAACTCCAGCTATGTTTTTGAGGAGATAACAAGATTCCTAACCTGATTCATCAGCCTGAGCTCTGATCTCATTAGCATTAGGATTCGTTGGCTCGACGGTAGATGGATACTTTTTTTTTATTTAACCAATTGCTGCTATTTGGTCGTGACATATGTAATGCGCCCAGCGGTGTCCAAGTAATTGCCAGAACAACAACAAACAAAGCAGAGAGTGAACATGTCTGTCAACGATCATTATTGTTTCTGCGAGATGAACTTGCAAATTAAAGATGCAAGAAAAAAATGCAAAGTCTGTATTTGACAAAGGAAGTCCAAAGGAGGATAGTGTATGCGGTCTGCTTTCGCAACTCAGGTTGGTTCAGCTCTTTCGTGATTGGCCGGTGCATGGTCTACAACTTCCGGGGTTCTTGCAAACCATCTAAGTGCAGACATGTCAGACTCAGGCCCGGAGTCCAAATTTGGCCCACGATATAATTATATTTGGTCCGTAAGATCATATCAAACATGTATTAGAGCTGGCTCGCAGGGTACAGATAAAAGTTTTGTTATTATTTTATATTATGCTTATTCTGGTGTCAATGTTTAAGCAAAACTATTATTAAACATTTATTTTATAAGAAAAGGTTTAACATTACATATCCCGAAAGAAGCAAAAACATGCAGATGCTGTTGAAATTTTTCAATAAATAATTAGTTTGGCCCACGACTTAGTCTCAGTTTTTTTTATTTTGGCCTTCTGTGAATTTGTGTTTGACACCCCTGGTCTAGTGTATTCCAATTCCTGACCTAGTCGCTGGAGAGAAATTCAATTGAGCGGAGGCACTAGGAGGTGCCAGCCTGGCTACAAGATTCCAACATGACTAAAAACTCACAACAGTCAGTTTTGCATAATATAGGACCTTTAAGACATAGGAAGTTGAACTAAATCATCAAAGTGTTTTATTATGAAGAAGGGCACATTAGCATGCAAGTTTTTTTTTAACTTTATCATCACAACAAAACCCAACTCTGGTCTCTGGAAGGTGTGAAAAGTGCATATAAACTCATCACAGTGAATAATTAGAATAGTCAGAAAGATAAGTGAGGAATAACTTTGGACCACTGTATAAGTGTTTAAAATGCACTACTTCTATTTTGCCATGTTTTTAAGACAGTAAAAGTTTGGTCCAGCGCTTTTAATCTATTAGTTGAGTTTGAAAACACCATTAACTGATCCTATTAGAAAGATTTAGCAGGGACAATTGCGGTCACTCACAAGGTAAAGACCATTTTCAGTTTGCATTTTCATTTCTCGGGAGCAGCAGTGGTCGTAAATAGCCCGCTCCAAAATCCTTAATCCCAAAATAAGCCTTGAAGCAATCCTCAGAAAGCCAAATTCGCCCAGGGCTGTGGAAGCATCTTTGCATCTTTCTCTGAGTCTGTCATCTCCAATCTCTCTGTGCACATGCACAGCACATTGTACTCTCTGCAGGTCTGTGTCAACTACATTTTGGCCACTCAGATTTTTCAAGTTGCACTATGTAACTTTGATTGGTGATTACCTGCTTGTTTCTATGGATATGTCATTGCTCAGCCTGGAATGTTCCATATTATGACATTAAAAAGCTCTACCTTCTACCTACCTTCTACATTTCTTCAATTACAGGTGTTTTTATAGCTCAGAAATACCTAGAAAAACTGACATTCTGACTGTGAGTGGGGTCGCCTCTCCACAGATCTGTAACTGGTTTGGTCTCCATGAAAACAGAAAGGTTTAATGCCATACTGTGAAACATTCCAGACAAAGCAATAACCAAGTCTCCATGAAGAAAAACATTTGACAGACCCTGCACCAGAAAAGTTAGATGATGCACTTTTAATATTTTGGGATGTCAAGATTTTTTTGTTTTTATCTGGCTCTTTATGTCACATTAAAGCTTTATTGTGTAACTTTTCTGGTGTAGGGTCTGTCACCTGGAATATTTCATAGTATCTTGCTCGGTGGTGTCACCCATAGCGTTCGGCTTCAGTCAAATGAAACTAACGAGGCTAGAAGTTATCGGCGCGAATTTGGAGACGAGCTCCAGATTAGGAATGTTAATTTCCACTCGAATCCACTCGGGTGTCCCAGCACGACTTCAGTAAACTACAAAGCCGCACCACCCGCAGCGCACACAAACACACACGGAGCAGACAGAGACCGCACAGCAAAACACACCCGCAGCCACACTCATCACTCCACGCCGACGAGGAACGGAACGGAGGAACGAACCGAAAAAAGCGAGTCCAGTGTGCCACTTCTAGCCACAAATGAACAACTGAGTCACTGCGAACACGCCGACAATCCAGAGGTCCCAGACAGCACCCTCCCTACACGCCACAACTGAACAAAGCCCAGAGTCACTGTGAACACAACAAACAAAGTCCCACTGACCCATCACCACTGTTGTGTTTCGTTTAAAGTCTGGTGCGGTTTATTTGTGAAAAAAGT